CAGGCAAAAATTTTCCATCGTGCACCAGGAGGAATGCGAAAATGCATAGTTGCTACCAATATTGCTGAAACCTCTTTGACTGTAGATGGTATTCTATTCGTAATCGATCCCGGTTTTTGCAAGATGAAAGTTTATAATCCGAGAATTGGTATGGATGCACTTCAGGTCAGTCAGTGAGCCCATCATAGTTTTTATTTATAATAACCTTCTCGGTGTTCATCCTAACCCAGAATTCTTAGATCTTTCCTGTTTCGCAAGCCTCCGCGAATCAGAGGTCAGGTCGTGCCGGCCGTACGGGGCCTGGACAGTGTTTCCGTTTATATACTGAGCGACAATTCAAGGAAGAAATGCTTGTAAGTAGCGTTTTTTTACATCCATTAGGCTGTCAATTCTTGGAAGATTTTCAATCCTCGTTGATAATCGCTTTTTGGCTGTAAACCGGTTCCAAGGGTATTCATAAGGGTTGCCAACTGTGAGCACAGGGCGGATGCGGCTCAAAAATAAGCGGGTTGTAGATACAAGTTCACACTACAGCTTTGGCAATTTTTTCTATGAGTTATGATTGAGAGTATGCATTGAAGCAAATCTGATGGGTCCAGTCACTTGCTAACCAGGAATAATAGTCTTATTCAATCGTCGCTCTATATACCTTAAGCATAGAGGTACAGAATGTTGTTATTTTGTACTGGTCCAATGCGGATGGCCAGTTTGAAGTGTTGTTACGAAATATAACAGCTAGCCTGCCTTAGGGTATCTCCATATTTCATAAGGATCGGCCGACCTTTATTACGCTTATAAGCGCAGGGTCGGCCGATCCTTATGAAATATGGAGAAACCCTTAGCGCCGCTAGCTTTGATGGCTGTCGTTCATCGGAGCGAAAAACAATCTTCCGAGCTTACCAGCCCAAAGCTGGGATTTTGCTGCCAGAAAATAGCCCGCGATGCTGCGATATGTTAGTGTGTTAGAAGGTAACGATGATTGAAAATTTCTTTCAAGACTTGTCAGACAACCTAATATATGACAACGTATAAGTTGAAGCTGCTCAAGAATGAGCACTGGAAAAGCATGATAATGCATATGAACACTCAGGTGTCTACTGTTCCTGAAATCCAACGTACCAATCTTTCAAACGTGGTTTTACTACTTAAATCTCTTGGTGTTGATGATCTGCTGAAATTTCACTTTATGGATGCACCACCGCAGGATAACATGTTGAATTCCATGTATCAGTTATGGACCCTGGGAGCCCTTGACAACACCGGGCGGTATGCGTTTTTGTCTGATCTTTATCTGTCATATATGTTATCCTTTCCCTGAGTTGCCAGTTTCAGTCTCACTGACTTGGGAAGGACGATGGTAGAATTTCCACTTGATCCAACTCTTTCAAAAATGCTTATCGTTTCTGAGGGAATGGGATGTAGTGAAGAGGTAACATGCCGTTTCCTATTTTTTTTTTTCGAATTTTGTTCCTATTGCCTTGTACCCATCTTGCATTTACCGGGGATAAAACGACAGCAGAAATATGTAGTTCTTTTAGAAGATATGTAATAAAAAAATCTAGGGAAGCTTTTGTGATTCAACAGTTTTTTAAGGCTTGAAAGAACATTGGGTAATTCTCATTTTTGTATTGAGAGACTTTGAATAGTACGCTCTAGCATTTCTGAATGCCGTATTGCAGGTAAAATAACAAAAAAATTTGCTTCTACATTTTAACTTTGCACGAGTACGTCATTCATCTTTTTGCCCAGAATTTTTTATTTGTATTATCCAGGTACTCACGATTGTTTCAATGCTTTCGGTGCCTGCTATATTTTTCCGACCCAAGGGAAGGGAAGATGAAGCTGATGCCAAGAAAGAGAAGTTCCAGGTTAGTTCTTTTCATTTCTGTTGCTTATTCATTGAGAACTTTTTGTCACAACTACTCTCGAGTGAAATTTTTCTCATAGGTTCCCGAATCCGACCACTTAACATTCCTGAATGTCTATCTGCAATGGCGTCAACACAAGTACTCGGCCAAGTGGTGCGCTGACAACTACATTCATGCGAAAGCCATCAAAAAGGTATGCTTCTCCTGTTACGATGGTTTGGATTCATAGAATAATGGCTAGTTTAGGTGCGAGAAGTTCGTGCTCAATTGAAAGAGATTATGCAAGATCAAAAGATCAAGATCATCTCTACGGGTAGCGACTGGGATGTTATTCGGAAATGTATTTGCTCGGCCTATTTCCATAATGCTGGCAGGTAAAATTTTTATAGATCAAATTAATATAATAAGCAAGAATTAATTTACCTTTCCCAATATCATTTACCTATTTCATAGTTTTTCACTGAATACTTGTGCTTTTCATGAACAGTTCTTGAAGAAATTTATTTCTTATATCTAGGCTGAAGGGAATTGGTGAATATGTGAACGTCCGTACCGGCATCCCTTGCTTCCTGCATCCGACATCAGCTCTATTTGGAATGGGTTTCATGCCTGATTATGTGGTAATGGATTTACTAAATTTCTTTTTGATTCTTTATTCCCCATCGTTATCAGATGTTCAGACACGCAGTAAATGATGTCATCCTATAGTGTTTTTCAAGGGTTGCAATAAAATTCCACTCATTTACCTATATTGGCAGCTATATCCATCTTCGCCGCATTTTCAATCATGTTGCGTTTTTCAAAATTCAATTTTTTCATAGTCTTTTGTATTAGTGAGAACAAACAATCCTTACTTACCACATATTGCCTTTTCGTAGTTTCTGCTGGTGTCAAATCATTCATAAACAGAAATCATATTCAGGTCTATCATGAACTCATAATGACTGCGAAAGAGTATATGCAGTGTGTCACTGCTGTCGATGCTGTTTGGTTGGCCGAACTTGGACCGATGTTCTATTCTGTGAAAGTGGGCCTTTACATGAAATCCATTCAATCCAGTTCCGACTTATGATCGATAAGATTTGTTCCAGGAATCGAGAACGTCTCGCTCCGAAAAACGAATGGAGAGCGTGAGAACTGCGGAAACCATGGAGGAAGAGATGAGAGAAGCACAGCGCGAAATGCAGCGGCGGAAAGAGGAGTCCGAAAGGGCATTCAAACGTCCAGATAGTGTTCGAATAGTCGATGTTGGTCGCTCTGTACGCAGTAAACATTGGGGAATGTGAGAGAGCGTTTAGCTATTGCTTCTAAATCTTATTGTGGATTTCTGCAATTTCGTCTACTTTCTGCATCTGTTCATCTCTACCTCTTGTCCTGGATAGTTCTGTTCTTGTTGATTTCTCATAAATTTATCTCTGTTTCCATTTGTATTCTTTATGTTCAATGCAGGTTGTAAGTCAATTAAATTATTTATATTGTACATAAAGCTTTGTAAGGATTTGTGTGAGCAAGGGGTGCACAGTGTTTTTCCACAACATACCTCATATCGTTGTTATAAAAAAAAATCCTTCTTATAAGCAATAGTTTTCTCATACAGCTAGCCTAAATGGACCTGCTTCCACCCGAGCTGTTGCAGCGGATATGTCTTTATCTATCACCTACAGATCGACTTAACTTTTCTCTTGCCTGCTCACGAACATTTGCTGCTTTAGGTAGTGTTTTCATATGTTATATCTCATCTTTTGTTGCATATTTTAATTTTTATGAGAACATCGTTAAATTGCTCAAATCATAGCCCAAAGGTAATTTAAAACGCAATTTGTGATGAGCTTTTGCAGCAATTCGTTTAGTTCAGCTTGATTTGAAAACGCCGAATTGCAACTTGTTTGCAGAAAACTATTCAGCGCGAGACACCCAAACTTGAGAAGCTGTGTTTCCACTACAATTATGCATATGTGCTGGGATAAGATCATTTTTCTTTTTGTTTCATTGTTGATCTTCTATGGTTTATTAGAGGACTTTATGCAGGTAGCGGTACTCATGTGCTAGTTCGACGTCACTAGTAGATTTTGAATATGAAAAATCAGGTAGAACAACAAGAGAAGTTGAAATTCGAAGTGAATTAGGGGAAAAATCAGCACATCCTTACATTTGGCCCTTATGTTGGCTGACCATGTTACACATAAGAAACGCATAGTATTG